TTTTTAAGGGGCATGGCCGCTGGTCTAGTGAATTTGCTAAGGATGGTTATGTCAAAGATTCTTTCCTCACGTCAATTTCTAATGTCTTAGGTATATTAGTTTTCTCCTACGTAACGCTTTTTCATTTATTCTCAAATCCTTTAGTTGGTCTTGTCCGAGGGACCGTTGTTTATGGTGTACCGCTGGCCTGGGGTTTTCCTCCTAGGAGCAAGTAGACGCACGGGGAGGTTTTTCACCCAGTTGTTGTTCCATCTTCCCATTTCAGTTTACATGGATTGTTTTTTTTACTTATATACTACTTTTGTATAATAAACCATGTATGCTTTAGTCTTTTCATAGAATAAACCGAAGGCTTGGCTTAAAGCGAGCCGCACTCCAGGGCTGTGTATGTTTTGTGTTGGGTCAAACAGATTTAGAGGAGAGCTGAACGAATTAACTACAGACTAAATCAAATATATTATGCAGTCACCAATCGAATGAACGGCGTAAGTGACGAGAAACTTTCCACTTATCATCTTCATTTTATTAAATTCGTAGGTATAACTTCAACAGTTTATGGCTCTATTTCACAAAATACCTCGGTAAACTCAGTTTGTGGAGCAAAAAGTGAGAAGATTTCAGACAACGAATCCGGATGTTTATTCTGGTTAATACAATGTGAAAGTGACACGCACACAAAAAAAACTTCAACAAACACAAGTTTCTTCGTTTAGTTCTTGTCACTGAACTAAGATGTAACCCATGGCCTTGATGTGCTTGTCACCATTATCACTCCGGTACGTAGCTTCGTTTCCACAAGTGTTAAAGTTATCATAATTTCCTCCAGTACCAAACCCGATTCTTGAGTCACATCCTCCACAGTCCCCCTCATTGTTTCCAATGATGCCGATTCTTGCTTTGGAAGAACCAGCCACATTGCCAAAGGTGTTAAACCCCTCCTGATTACAGTGGTGTTGCAAGGAGGCCTCAGAACCAATCAGCGACTTCCACGTGTTACGACCCAATGAAGTGTCGCGGTATTGTCCATCAGCGATCACAGAATACAGGGAGCTGGCGTTCCTGCTGATTGTAATAAATTTCGCCTGGCTGTCAATCATCATACCGAGGCAGATCTTAGAGAAGGATGTGTTCCAGTAGGTGGGAAGTTTGGTCTCATCTGAGTCGAACCCAGTCTTCCCTCCATCAAGGTTGAAAGTTTCGTTGTTGCCCCAAAGGGTGGCATCGTAGTGAAACGTTTGCTGTGATGGCAACAGAATGGGGAATATTTAAAGCACTCATTTAACAGGAAACGTTTTTCAAAAGTTTTGATTCATAAACGCACAAGCCCAATAAAAATTTGGGCTGATGCACCGAATTATCTGTAATTGGACTTCATACTTTTAATCCAGGTAATCAATTTCTACTTGGCTCGTCAGACTGCACAAACTTGTCATTTTCAAAGAAGTGTATTATTTTAAAAGCTCCTTGGCTCTTTTACTCGCCCCATGCAAGGGAATCCGGATTCCCAAATCTGGGAAATTTTCATTATTGAATCCGGAATCCTGGGCCTTGGAATCCAGAATCCCACTAACGTTTTGAATCCAGAATCCAAGTCCCACTGACAGTGAGTGGAATCAATTAAACTGGAATCCGGAATCCACGGCGGAGAATCCAGAATCCAAGGGGGTCTTGGTTTTCTGCATTTTTTGCTAAAATGAGCATAATTTGCAAAAACTAACATATTAACTATTGGCATGACTTTAGAAATATAGGAGCAATGCTAGAAGCAAATTACGCTACTTCCTGTGTGAGCACACTCTTTCAAAGCCTAGCGGCGCCGTCTACAACCCACGGTGTTATAATTTAATTTCGTTTCCCGAGAAACATTTGAGATTAGAGCGGTCAACATTCGCGGGTAACAGTGCACTGGTTGTTTACCATTTACATTGGTAAACAGGTCGGTTCACGGTTTGTGTAAATGTTCGCAAAGTTCAGAAATGGTAAATCTTGTTCCGGAACTGGAATCGCGTTTACCACTGCACAAATCAGTTCCTTTTACCGGAAAACGGCCGCAAAGTCGTGAGACTGATACCAAAGATGGCTTCGAAGAAATGGAACACGAACTTCTGTTTGGAGTATTCCATCGGGAAAGACAAGACCACCTTTTCAGATGTTCCGTTGCTCCAGGATATTTTCCGTTAGGAAGACCTAAGAGGTCGTGTTCTATTTACTTTCCAACCGGATTTCCTGGAAATTTTTGTAAATGGTAAACAACCACTGCTACCCTTTGATGTCATAGACTTTTCAATGTTACCCGCCCGGAGATTTTGGCGGGAAACAGTTTCATCGTTAAATGTCATGTGACGTCGAAGTAAGCAGTTGAGAAAAAATTTCCAGCCATATAACAATATATCTTGCTATAAAACAATAAAATATTGTGTTGTTTGAGTTTTCATCATAATGTAACGATTACTGACAGAAAGAAAAAAATTCTTAGTTTCCTCAGTTTCTTGATTTAAAAGACGGAATGGGCTATGTTGGAATAGGTATACCTTTGTTCCATTGATCTTCATAACCAGCGTCCATCCCCCAACTCCGCATGCGTCATTTTCAGCAGGGGCCACGGCCATGTTGCAAAAAATGTCAAATACATCATCTCCCAAAATCAGTGGATAGGCTTTGCTCTCGTTTGATCTGCAAGGGAAACAACACCTAAATGAGCGTCATATGATATAGGTTAGTGGAGGCCTAATTTTGACATCTTTCAATAGACCATTTTTACGATGACGACAATGACAGCAACAACCAGAATCCATTTCATTTTTTGTTTTCTTATTTAAATTTGTCATTCCTGCTCTGGTTTAAAAACCAATAGCCCTAATTTGAAGAAAACAACAAAACTGAAGTATTCTGGTGATTGTACTAAAATGACGTCATCACGCAATTGTCCCATTCACCTCAGTTAATTTGAGTGAATTCTCCGAGTCGATCACTGAATCGATAGGTTATATTTGATACCACATTTTCAAAACGAGACAATGCCGTGCGCATGCACTCGACCCCCCGCTCATGCCCGCTATAAAAAAGTCGACAGATTTTGTGATTATAATAGTTGTCTAAAAAGTAAACTTTGTACTTTTACTCACATTTTGCTGTCGAAAAGTTCTTTACACGATGAGACTGTGTTACAAAAATAAAATAAGGGAGATATAAATTTTAAAAAAAGACCTTTTTTAGACACATGTGAGTTAAGAAATCCAGGTGGTAAGAAGTATAACTGATGATGATGATTGCGTGATGATCGTATGATGAAAATAATAACTCTTAATTCATCACTGACAAGGTTACATAATGAGGTGCGCTGAAGCCACAGGCTTACATGGACTAGGACTAAGACCCGGCCACCTTTTTGACGGGCCTTGGTTCTTAAAAAATCCCACAAATGTATTTTAGTTTTTAAATATCCAAATGAATTAGTTCCTCCATATTTATCGGATTTTTTTATTAGAAATCGCACTATTCACACTTACAAGACAAGACAAAGGAACGACATTCATCTGCCGAACCCTAAGTTAATGCTAGGAAAAAACACTTTTAGATTTTCAGGTACGGTTCCTTTTAATAATGTACCCACATAAAAAAAGAAGCTACGTCGCTTTCCACTTTTAAGAACTTTCTTAGAGTTCATTTTAGCCATTAGTTGTTTCTTATTAATATAATTCTTAGGTAACTTCGATAGCTCTCTTGTTTTTCTTGATCTCAAACAAATTATGATGATATGTAATTTCCCTCTTGGGCACTTTTTAAAATCCTTGTACACAATTTTAAAGTAATTTTTAATTTTTAAACTTTTATCAAGTAGTCATAATTTACGCAGGGCCCAATTGCTGATAGGGCTACCCTGCCTAAATAAAGTTGACTTGACTTGAATTCATTTGTGTGACTCAATTGTAAAATTCAAATTTTGGTCTATTTGAACGCCCAAAAGCTTGATTCTCTCCAGTTCTATATTACTGATAACTAAGTTCAATTTCGAAGGCACGAAAGAGGAGTAAGAAAGACCTTCTGCGTATGAAGGAATACAAAACAAGACACTTAATTTGTTCTGGAGAATTGCAATGAGTTTTAAAACTTTCGCTTCTGGAGACGAAAGAGAGGTACGTTGTAGGTAAAAAGAATATACCTAGAGGCCCAAATACTAGTACGATAGACGTACCTTGCATTTGTAGGATTCGTAGGATTTAGTTGTGCTGTTTGCTCTCTAAGTCTCCCAAGTATCTTCAAAATCGATAAAAAGACTGCTGACTCACCTGGTTTGCAATTCTTTCCATCTCCATAATATCCCGGATGACAACTGCAGTTGTATCCTCCCTTGGTATTATTGCAGTAAGCATAGGTATCGCACTTGTGTGTATTCTTTGCGCATTCGTCTATATCTGAAACATAATTTCTCAACTGTTTTTGATCAGTTCATCTGATAACCACTGTAAACATTAATCAGTGAAGACTCTATGACGAGAAATGCATGGTTACCAGAGACCTTATGATTTAGACAAACTCAGTACCCACCGCAGAAAACAAAGGATGTCACCACAAACCACTGGACTTGTATAGCTACCCAAATTAGATTGACCTCATGAGAGTTTTTAACACAATAAAAGTAATTAGAGCGCGCTTTGATTTTTCAGTATAAGCTTTCTACCATCAATACAGTGGATGGTGGCTGATTTTGGCCTCGGTCGAAGGTAAAATAAATAAAAATGATTTTTGGTCTGATTTAGTTGATTGGTTCGACGCGTCCTAAGTTCGACGTCTTACTCAACAGACAATATTAACGTACTTTAAGTCGACCCAAAGTAGAGTTTTGTTCGTCTCATGAAAAGTTCGACCTTTGGTTTAGGCCTATAGTACACAGAAGTCATTCAGAATAACAACATAAGGCGTTTTACAATCTACCTAAATGCTGAAAACGGCTGATTCAGCAAAAGAAAATCTCAAAGTCAAGTTTTTGAAAGGCATAATCTGTTTACAAGCAGGCAGTGACCGCATACGGCAACTGTGCGATGACTGACTCAACCGTACGCAAATGAAAATGTTTTCTCTTTTAATTATGTTATAAAATAAATGGTAAACGTTGCAGTTGTGTATACGTAACGATCGCCGGAGTTTTAGATGCACGCGGGAGGTTTGCTATGCACTCAACGAGTTAGAGTTGCTCTCTACAACGCCTGGAGCAACTCTTAAGCTTATTTTGTGCTTATTACCAGCCACTGCCTCCCGCGTGCATCCATAACTCAGTGGTTGCACCCTGGACGTTTACCATTCTTAGAGAGAAGCGACAAAACAAGCCAATGCAAAGAGAAAGATAGCGCTTCAAATTAATAACTGGAAAAAAAGGGGAGGTACTCCATCTAGTGTTTTCAATGTAGCCTTTGGGTAGACTCCTTGGAAGCGTAGAGATAGGAGGAAGCGTCCCCTACCCTTTCATTCCGCTTTCCCCTTTCCCAGTCGTCTTCCACTTTTTCGCCTTCTTTTCGCAGTCTCCCTACACACAAATGAGCCTATTCACACTGGCTACTTCCAGACTCTCTAATTGAATTAAGTAAAAACACTGACAACTCGTCTGATTAGACGCACTTACCGAGCAAACCTAAAGTTTTCATGCGGGTTATGAAAGCAACATAATGCAGCTACTTGAAATCCAACAGACCCCGATTCATATCCCTGCGACAATGCCAGGTTATTTGCCGTGGGAAATTTTGTCAAAAACTATTAATCACAGCTTGCCCACACATTGGAAAATATATTTATGAGTTCTAGTTTTATTCGAAGACCATTTTGTGCGTCAGCAAGTGATTTTATATAATGCCCTCAAATTCTGGCTTGATTTGAACGAACAGTTAGGAAATTTCTGGTGAAACTGCACCTTATTAGCTTTAACTTACCAATCTCACAGTACTTTCCTTCAAATCCAGAAGTGCATATACAGCGGTATCCTCTGTCTGTAAAACCTGTTTGACAGGTTGCATTGTTTTTGCACTGTTCATTTTCACAAGCGTTCTGGAAAGAAAACAGACATTCCTAATGCCTCCACAACGACTGATTAATTTGAAAGTAATCTTATCATAGATTAACATATAACATGAATTTGAGATTGTTAATTAAGGTAAAGTTAATAGCAAAAACTTACATTAGCTCCAAGGTATATGTAATCTGGATTTGTTTCCAACATTTCTTCTCTGTCTTTTATAGTGGAATTATTCAGCTCACATTTCCTTGTGACTTTGTTGAAGTTGTAGCTGACACAGTTTGGTTCCATGTAGCACAAAGTCCGGCAGGATCTCTCACAGGTGACGTCAACAGTACGAATCACGTGATTTTTGAGGCGCTTTCCATCAACAGTGTTGTCAAAGTCTAGCTGGCGACAGGTGCCTGAGAGAAACAAAAAAGAATGAGCGCTGAAAAATAGCTGTACTTTCAATAATAGACCTCTTGTATATAACAAGAGATTTGTTATATTAACTCCACTACCAGATTAAGCTTTCAACGAATTGCAAAAAAAATTCTACTTATCAAATTCCTTGACGGAAGTGGCAACGGAACAACTTGATAAAAAACAGGAAATTTACCTTTAAAAGGTATACATATTATCATTAATTTTTCCCGCAACCGCATCCCAACTTCCGGAGTAACATTTCACTGCTGGTCTAGACTCGTTTTAAATCATATTTTTAATCATATTAGGTCACTCCAAGTATTAAATGGTTCTTAGCTGAAGCTCCTTTTCAGTACGTTTCTTTTTAATGCATATTTTGTAAAGTATTTTTCATTTTAAAAACAACAGGTGCCGTCAAACTCAAAGGGGCCTCTAATCACAGGCCTCCCACGCTCAGGTCACGATCCGAGTTTGTTATCAAATATCAAAGGTAAGTCTCCTTTATTTATTTTTTAAAAAAAAAAGAAAAAGAAAATGATATCAGCGTTTGCAGACCTCAGTATTTTATTTTCCATACAAAGTCTCAACGGTCGCTTGTAACGCGACACCGACTCTCTTGTGAGAAAATTCACATAACACTCTCGTAACGTAAACTTGGGACGCCTGTGCTCCAATCAGCAAGTATTGCAGAAAACGTCAATTTGGGACTTGTCAAGAGAGCGAAAACACTAGATACGTGGTGGTAATGGTGGTCACGTGATAAGCACAAATTCAATACTGAAACCCGAATAAGGTGCCGCTGGAAAAGGTTTAGAACGACGTTACTATAGTGGAAAAGAAAAAGGAGCTGACTAATACAAACATCTACAATGATTTTAGTGACATAATAAAGTTAGATGTAGATGTATCCTCTGGAGTTTCGGTTCATAAGTTTGCTGTATAAATTAATGGTTGTATTTTAATACTATATATATTAGCTTATATTTAAAGTTTCTGTTTTCTTTATATCCTCCTCTTAGTGACCGATTTTATTAAAACAAAAGCGGTAGTTCAGGCGCAGATTTAATTACTGAGTGACGCATTCTCAGTGGTAGATCAGGTTCGTCAAAATTAACTTTGCTTGTTCAGTAACACGGATTTCCTCAAACTTTTAAGTGCACATTTTAAAATAGTTTAATATAGGATCCTCGACATTCTTAAGTATCACTAAACCATTTTATATCAATATTCTCTTGTGTCAAAGAATTAAATAATTTAAATATGACTGCATCTTGGCAAACAGTCCTGTAACCTTCACCTTAATCGCTAATCTACTGATTTACAAGCGTAAGCCTACGAACAAATTTCATAACCTGGTGAATCTCATGGCATTTTTTATAGAGGGTTTTTTTTTATCGCTGGTTTTGAGACCACTGTAATCTCAACTTTAAACTGTTTAGTCAATGCAGTTAATCCGAGGAACTCTCAGATACGTCTGGACTGGCAAAACTAACCTCCACTTGGACTGCAGAATTGCCCTTGAACTGGACAGAACAATGTGATTGTAAACCATAAGATACAAACAAAGAACATAACCAAAAAATTGCGAAAACTCTTTCGTATAAGTTTGATAGGAATATGCACACCGCGACGTTGCCCTTGTTTGAACCGGAAAAAACTGCTCAGTGCCGGGTCTTCAAACAAATTATTTACCAATGGCCATTGTCTCTCATTGTTTGAACAATAAGCTTACCGGCCCACAGCTTATTATCAGTTTATATGAGGTATCCATGCATATTTATTTACACACGTTTAAACGCATACATTTATTTTTTATATTTTGTCAAGTTAAGGGATGTATATTTTCATTTTTATTACGTGCAACGTTTTCAAGGATTTCTTTCTTGTTAAGAGAATATAACAGTTTAGTATTGCGCCATCGCTTTTGAAGTGCCCATTGAATAAACTCATCAACTACAACAAAGAAAATAGCCGAATTATTTTTCATGTGTCATTATAATTATAAAGGAAACATAAAAATAGCCAGTGTAAAAGAAGGAATTAACATTTACAAGACTATAAGAATCTAGACCGTTTTTGAACAAATTGTAAATATTTTGATACACATAATTGTTTAATTCTGTTATATTTTAAATTATTAATTAGATTTACAATATTTTATATTCTATATTTTAATGAAGTTTTTTTTCTAAAAATTTGTAATCGTATTGAAAATAATTGCACAATTTAGCCTTTGGGCGCGAAGCGATTTTTTAATAAACTATATCTTATGTAAGTATCTATATCTCATATCTCAGAACATGATGTTTCCATTTTAAGAAAGGGCTTTAAAGTCACTATTTTAACGGGAAATCTTTGAATTTTACCCTCGCATAGACCACCTACGGCTCACGCAGTGGGAACCTCAGTCGCTGTAGAAACTGTAATTCCTAACTTTTTATTCTCTCGCTAACTTTTCCCCAGATGACCCCTCCTCAGATCAGTTGTCCGCTTTCTTCCTGTCAAGTTGTCGCGCAAGTCTCCCGCGAACTATGCGCGACCACCTAAAAATCAGAACCCTGACACGATACAACAACTGTAACGACAATGAAAAGGTCGCTAAAACACTGAATTTGCGCCTGTCGCACCTTTCCGCTATTATTTCAAGCCGTCTGAAGAAGTTAAGTTAGAGCTCAAGAGAGAGGACCGCGTCCGACAGATACAATAAAATTCATCGCCTTTTCTTAACTAGAGCGCTTAAAACTTGATCATTTTACGTCCTAATTATGTAGGAACGACAAAAAATTTACAGATAAGCATGATGCAGGTGCAGAGTCCTTGTTTTCTTCAATAAGGGCCTGGTTACATGAGCAGGTTGGCCCTGGTTAAAAATCGAATATTCGCGGTCACAATCGCGTAGCATAACATTGACTATGGCATTTAATTCGTCCAAACACTTGATGTTTAGCTATCCTTTATTTAAAAAAAATGCACTTCAAGGTAGTTAGCTCGAAATAACTAATAGACCCTTTTTACCGATACGGCGGCCATATTGAATTAATTAGATTTAAGGAGTATTATGGGATAACCATGGGGAATGAGCACGATCCGATATACTCGCATCAGTAATAACACGCGATTTGCGGGCCAATTTTTCTCAAGTTTTCCTAGAAAAAGATTGTAATAGGAAAAAAAAGATCGTTGTGCCGTGTTTGGATGTAATAATAATCACCTTTTTGTCGAGAAATATAAATTGTAGTTCTCTTTTTGGCCGAAAAGCGCGCTTGAATACTGAGCGAGTGCCCCAGGGCATCTCATAATACTCCTTAAATCTAATAAATTCAATATGGCCGCCGTATCGGTAGAAAGGTCTACAGGGGACACTATTTTTACGCCTCCAACTGGAGAAGGGACCACTATTTTTCGTGGTCATCCGAGCCACTCGACCAAGGTCTAGCCGCTTGCAGTGCAAAGAGAGTACCTACATTTCTCAGTTATTTTAAGACCCTGAGTATTCGTCTGGCCCCGGGAATCGCACCCGCGACCTTCCGCTCTGCAGTCAACCGCTTTACCGACTGAGCTAATCCTGCCGCGATTATCGTTTACGGTTTCTTACATATCTGGAAGGTGTGTTAAGACATGGACTGATGGCACTAATGGATTTTCTTTAAGCTTCTTAAAGCATGTTAAAGGTCAGCAAGTAATATAGATGTTTAGGGTAATTTCCCGATGTATAATCGCTTCACGATTCAATGAAATGCTGCGGTTTTGCCCATCAGTAATCACTCAGGAATACAGGGAATTGGCATCCCTGTTGATTGCAATAAATTTGAACAGGTTGTCAATCTTCAAACCGAGGCAGATCTTGGTGAATGATGTGTTCCAGTAGGAGGGTCTCCTGTGAGTCAAACCAAGTCTTCCCTCCGTCAAGGTTAATAAAGGATTCTTCGTTACTTCAATAGGAGGCATAAATTGTAGTGAAACGTTCGCTTTGACAAAAAAGAAGGAGAAAAGCAACTCCTCATCGTTTTTGCACCATTAAACTGAATCAGTGTAATCAGCCTCAGCAGGCTTAATGAATAGTCACCAAATAAGGCATATTTCACTCATTTATAACAAATATAATTGAAAAGAGTCACGTTATCATCCTTAACCCTTTCGTATTCGCTATCTTAAAGGGAGCTTGATAGTAAGACTTTGTATTAAACTCCTTTACGAAATTTTTTCTTTGGCTTCCACAAGTTATGACAACCTTTTTTTTTTTCAATATATCCTTCTGCACTATAAAACTAGTGGAAAAGAAATGCAGCAGTGTTTAGTTATGCAGTGAATGAGTCCTTTGGATTTCATCCTTTTAATCCATTCAATATGCTATGGTTACAAGACCCTAGCTAGCCTCTTTTAATCGCACAAAACACCAGGGGGAGTCTTTCTTGAGACAATCACTCAGACTCTTCGACATAATCTCCCTACGTTTACGCCGGGTAAGGAAAATTCTTATACTCACGCTGGAATTAAGGCTAATTCCATTCAATTACCAAGAATTATACTCAAAACTGTCAAATGAAAAACGAGAATCAGTGGTAAAGGCGAGTGTATTTAGAAATACCAGAACGGAAAGTCGATCTAATAGTCAGCGAGACTTAGACACAAACAAAGAAGATGAATAAACAATGATTATTCATGTGTATCCATTTTCATTGTTTGTATCCTCTAATACTCGCTATCATGCTGAATTTTAATATATCGAAAGTGGCCTATTGCATTTTGCTTTTACTGACAGCAAATTACTCTTATTTAGAGGACAATTGACTCGATTGACGGCTAATTAACAATTGTTCCACGAGTGCGCGTTGGATATGAGTTGCCTATAATCATCTCATATCCAACAAGCACGAGTGGAATAATTGTTTTATTAAAAACGCCCACAAAATGTCGAGAATTCTTCGCGACTTCATTTGTAGAAACAACCGATTTTCGGCATGTTTTTAATTTTGAGCAGACACATACAGTTACCATATTTGGAGAACATGGCTAAGCCAATCAGAGCTCTAGAATTCCATTATCCAATGATTCAGTTTAATAATTAGAGATAAACGAGAGCCGGAGAGCGATTTAGACTGAGGGATTTCCCGTGCATGTATAGCTAATGAGACTACCCCTTTAATTCACGGCTGACTCAAACCCCATTTCGACCCTCTAAAAACACTTTTAAAGGGACAGTGTCCCGATTATGCGCACGCGCGAGCATCATCTGTTTTTCTTCAAAAGACAATAGAGCTGTTCATATTGACTCGACAAGATTTCCTTCCGGACCGCACCGCTGACGGCGTCTTGTTGTTTATATTCTCAAGTAATATTTTAGACTTTCGCGATCGAAGAAGGTTTTCGTCTTATATAAATATTTAGCTCGCGGTTCGAAGACTCATCGCGATTTTATCGCTAGCTGGGCCGCCTCGCGACCCGAAAATCTCGTTTCGCTCGCTTTAAAAACATATTTTCAAATTTGAAACTCGTGTCAGAGGTCAATTGTGCCAAGTCCAGTAATATCTGCCTGATTTGCTCGCGTTCTAGCCTCAAATGTTGAAAGACAAAAAAATGCAATCTCAACGCTATGAATCATCACAAAGGTTAGTAAAAATTATATTATGATTTCAGGGCACTAGTTTTTCTAAACATGTAGCGCCTGTTTGTTTGATTTTGTCGGCCGTAGGGAGATTCATTTAAAAGTTTACTAACGCGTCGTTGCAAAACATTCTGCTTCGCGAAGCTCCCCTCCACAAGATCTCCTCAGCCACATCCATGTATCAATGGTTTCTTTCTTACAGTCTCTATTGTTGCTGTTTCATTTCTGCGTATCCCTTTCACAATTATCTGAGCTTGTATGGAAGCTAGCAGAAGAAATAAGCCTTCAATCGGCAACAAAGTGCTTCCAATCTTTTGGTCCTCCGGCCAACGGCAATAAAAGTAACGCCATAAAATCCAGATTTTGCTCAAATCGAAACTGAAGCGGAACAATATATCACTGATCTGTAATCCTGAGAAGTTTAATTGTCGTATTGAACCCGGCCAAGCGCGATGCAAACGGATTTTTCAAGGTTCTCTTACTCTCCTCGCATCTTTTGATTTCGCGACATCCTGTCCAAAAAGCAAAGTTTGGTGCATGCGCAGTAACGGGGAACTGTTCCTTTAAGTGTTCAGTGTTATTATGCATTTGATACAATCCTGAAAACGGTCGTACTTGAAATTTTATCATACACTTGATGATCACTGACAATATGAAAGAAAATAGTCAGTTTCTTGATTTGAAATGTGAACGAGCAATGTTGGAAGTGTGTATACTTCCTTTCCATCAATCTTCATAACCAGCGTCCATCTATCAACTTTGCATGCGTCATTTTCAGAAAGGGCCACAGTCATTTTGAAGGAAATGTCAAAAACATCATCTCCCAGAATTAGTAGGTAAGCTTTGCTCAGAGTTGATCTGCAAGGAACAAATATCATAATAAGGGAAAATCTAAGACGAGAATCTACAGTTCAATAGCCAGTAACGATCAGCTACGATCGGTCGGTGCGTCAACTATCTCTCAGGGGCACCCAACGACGGTTTTCTGTAGAATGTCTGTTCGGAGAAGCAAATATTGCCTAGGATTTTCTATTATTTGAGGACAGCTAAAAAGTTTTAGATGACCGTTCCATTCATGTAATTTTCGAAGCTGATTGAAACTCCCTACGAGATTTTCTAGGTTTATTTTTTGACATTTCACTCCCTAGGTTAGGCTACTTTTTGTAGAAAAAAGGAAACCTAAACTTTTCGAAATTCAAAAATGTTATGGAGGGAGGAATCAGAAAAATTCCCGCTTTCCTAATGCGTTAAATTGCAAGTAAAATTTTCCGGAAAATAATACTGAAGTCCTTGTAATTTCGAAAAGACTCAAGCTCCCCTGGGATGACCGAACAGGCACACATTTTATAGCGCCGCTTAGAATGCATTATTAGAGATGATGTAAAAGCACTCTGGATAAATAAATCGGTGGTTTTTAGTCACATTTTCTTGTCGAAAAGGTCTTTACAAGATGAAATGAGGCAGATCTTGGTGAATGATGTGTTCCAGTAGGAGGGTCTCCTGTGAGTCAAACCAAGTCTTCCCTCCGTCAAGGTTAATAAAGGATTCTTCGTTACTTCAATAGGAGGCATAAATTGTAGTGAAACGTTCGCTGTGACAAAAAAGAAGGAGAAAAGCAACTCCTCATCGTTTTTGCACCATTAAACTGAATCAGTGTAATCAGCCTCAGCAGGCTTAATGAATAGTCACCAAATAAGGCATATTTCACTCATTTATAACAAATATAATTGAAAAGAGTCACGTTATCATCCTTAACCCTTTCGTATTCGTTATCTTAAAGGGAGCTTGATAGTAAGACTTTGTATTAAACTCCTTTACGAAATTTTTTCTTTGGCTTCCACAAGTTATGACAACCTTTTTTTTTTCAATATATCCTTCTGCACTATAAAACTAGTGGAAAAGAAATGCAGCAGTGTTTAGTTATGCAGTGAATGAGTCCTTTGGATTTCATCCTTTTAATCCATTCAATATGCTATGGTTACAAGACCCTAGCTAGCCTCTTTTAATCGCACAAAACACCAGGGGGAGTCTTTCTTGAGACAATCACTCAGACTCTTCGACATAATCTCCCTACGTTTACGCCGGGTAAGGAAAATTCTTATACTCACGCTGGAATTAAGGCTAATTCCATTCAATTACCAAGAATTATACTCAAAACTGTCAAATGAAAAACGAGAATCAGTGGTAAAGGCGAGTGTATTTAGAAATACCAGAACGGAAAGTCGATCTAATAGTCAGCGAGACTTAGACACAAACAAAGAAGATGAATAAACAATGATTATTCATGTGTATCCATTTTCATTGTTTGTATCCTCTAATACTCGCTATCATGCTGAATTTTAATATATCGAAAGTGGCCTATTGCATTTTGCTTTTACTGACAGCAAATTACTCTTATTTAGAGGACAATTGACTCGATTGACGGCTAATTAACAATTGTTCCACGAGTGCGCGTTGGATATGAGTTGCCTATAATCATCTCATATCCAACAAGCACGAGTGGAATAATTGTTTTATTAAAAACGCCCACAAAATGTCGAGAATTCTTCGCGACTTCATTTGTAGAAACAACCGATTTTCGGCATGTTTTTAATTTTGAGCAGACACATACAGTTACCATATTTGGAGACCATGGCTAAGCCAATCAGAGCTCTAGAATTCCATTATCCAATGATCCAGTTTTAATAATTAGAGATAAACGAGAGCCGGAAGAGCGATTTAGACTGAGGGATTTCCCGTGCATGTATAGCTAATGAGACTACCCCTTTAATTCACGGCTGACTCAAACCCCATTTCGACCCTCTAAAAACACTTTTAAAGGGACAGTGTCCCGATTATGCGCACGCGCGAGCATCATCTGTTTTTCTTCAAAAGACAATAGAGCTGTTCATATTGACTCGACAAGATTTCCTTCCGGACCGCACCGCTGACGGCGTCTTGTTGTTTATATTCTCAAGTAATATTTTAGACTTTCGCGATCGAAGAAGGTTTTCGTCTTATATAAATATTTAGCTCGCGGTTCGAAGACTCATCGCGATTTTATCGCTAGCTGGGCCGCCTCGCGACCCGAAAATCTCGTTTCGCTCGCTTTAAAAACATATTTTCAAATTTGAAACTCGTGTCAGAGGTCAATTGTGCCAAGTCCAGTAATATCTGCCTGATTTGCTCGCGTTCTAGCCTCAAATGTTGAAAGACAAAAAAATGCAATCTCAACGCTATGAATCATCACAAAGGTTAGTAAAAATTATATTATGATTTCAGGGCACTAGTTTTTCTAAACATGTAGCGCCTGTTTGTTTGATTTTGTCGGCCGTAGGGAGATTCATTTAAAAGTTTACTAACGCGTCGTTGCAAAACATTCTGCTTCGCGAAGCTCCCCTCCACAAGATCTCCTCAGCCACATCCATGTATCAATGGTTTCTTTCTTACAGTCTCTATTGTTGCTGTTTCATTTCTGCGTATCCCTTTCACAATTATCTGAGCTTGTATGGAAGCTAGCAGAAGAAATAAGCCTTCAATCGGCAACAAAGTGCTTCCAATCTTTTGGTCCTCCGGCCAACGGCAATAAAAGTAACGCCATAAAATCCAGATTTTGCTCAAATCGAAACTGAAGCGGAACAATATATCACTGATCTGTAATCCTGAGAAGTTTAATTGTCGTATTGAACCCGGCCAAGCGCGATGCAAACGGATTTTTCAAGGTTCTCTTACTCTCCTCGCATCTTTTGATTTCGCGACATCCTGTCCAAAAAGCAAAGTTTGGTGCATGCGCAGTAACGGGGAACTGTTCCTTTAAGTGTTCAGTGTTATTATGCATTTGATACAATCCTGAAAACGGTCGTACTTGAAATTTTATCATACACTTGATGATCACTGACAATATGAAAGAAAATAGTCAGTTTCTTGATTTGAAATGTGAACGAGCAATGTTGGAAGTGTGTATACTTCCTTTCCATCAATCTTCATAACCAGCGTCCATCTATCAACTTTGCATGCGTCATTTTCAGAAAGGGCCACAGTCATTTTGAAGGAAATGTCAAAAACATCATCTCCCAGAATTAGTAGGTAAGCTTTGCTCAGAGTTGATCTGCAAGGAACAAATATCATAATAAGGGAAAATCTAAGACGAGAATCTACAGTTCAATAGCCAGTAACGATCAGCTACGATCGGTCGGTGCGTCAACTATCTCTCAGGGGCACCCAACGACGGTTTTCTGTAGAATGTCTGTTCGGAGAAGCAAATATTGCCTAGGATTTTCTATTATTTGAGGACAGCTAAAAAGTTTTAGATGACCGTTCCATTCATGTAATTTTCGAAGCTGATTGAAACTCCCTACGAGATTTTCTAGGTTTATTTTTTGACATTTCACTCCCTAGGTTAGGCTACTTTTTGTAGAAAAAAGGAAACCTAAACTTTTCGAAATTCAAAAATGTTATGGAGGGAGGAATCAGAAAAATTCCCGCTTTCCTAATGCGTTAAATTGCAAGTAAAATTTTCCGGAAAATAATACTGAAGTCCTTGTAATTTCGAAAAGACTCAAGCTCCCCTGGGATGACCGAACAGGCACACATTTTATAGCGCCGCTTAGAATGCATTATTAGAGATGATGTAAAAGCACTCTGGATAAATAAATCGGTGGTTTTTAGTCACATTTTCTTGTCGAAAAGGTCTTTACAAGATGAAACTGTGTTAAAAAATAAAGTAAATAAGGTAATAAATAGATTTGCTTCCAGATGGTCCTTTACAACCCTTACAGTAGCCAGCTCCCCCATCCAACGAGGATCCCCTGGGTTCCTGATGCAAAAAGGGCGTGGATTCCTCTATTCACTGAGAGAATTACTGACAATGGATTTCATGGAAATCAAAATAAAGGCCACTTCATTGGCATGGAAACCTTTTTTTTTTCTTTTCTGGTCACTATTTCTTTTCGTTTGTATTGTAAAGTTTTTAATTATTACTTTCAGCACTCTTTAAGGATTCTTTTACCGGTTGATACCCTGAGACTAGACTGCGAGCAGTGTCTTGCATTGGTTTTCTTTTGAGTCATAATAGATGGAGAGCGTGCGTGAGGTCGAAAGGCAAAGCCGCGAGGAACGAGGGCGGAAGCCCGAGTGAAGAAAAATTAAGAAGGAATAATAAGACAATCAGTCTTTTTTTTTCACGGTCTGTTTTCCTTTTCCGTCCCAATCTCTATTCCTTTTAACCATAAATTTGCAGTTTCGCTCGCCGTGCGTGGCCCCCTAGGGAAAGAAGACCACGGCTAACTTTAAAGAAATGTAAAGCCTGCTAAAATTTTTGAAATTGTTTTTGTTTTTAAATACACCTACTTCAATAAATTAATAGGCGTCTATTTTCTAAACAGAAAAGGTACGATGAGAAAACATAAATACCTGGTAATACACTATACTTTTTGGACTTGTAGGATTTAAAGTTCCTCTTTGCTTAACCCAGGTTCGGCAGGGTCTGATCATTAGTAACATTAGTTATTATTTCGCATATTACAAAAACCGAATTTAAAAATTATTTTATTATACATTTTTTTCAGGGTAATAACGATAAATACACCGCTGCACTGAACACAGTTTACTATTTTACAGAAAGAATAGACTTACTCTTGGAAATCATGCATTGCGCGCGCAAGAAAAAGACTTGTTAGTTAGCGTTGATTTCCAAAATTAACTATAGGCTCTTAGGTAATGAGAAGACAGATTGAGCGAGTAAAATATATAAGATAATTTTTCAAGTATCTTCGTTGGTGGTCGATAAAATGCATATTCGGCTGAAATCTTTTGTCCAGAACTAGAAGACAGAGAGCTCAGGTTGAAAATGGTGACATACTATTGTGCTTGTGTCCTTTCAGTCTTAATTTAAGAAAATTATTTTGTGCGAAATTCCTGCGTATTTTGAAAGACACGAGGAAAAATTAATTCCTTAATGGGCCAAAGACTTGACTGTAAGCCTATTTTCTTTAAAGAGATAATTTGTTTTTGAGGACGGCAAAACATTTCTACATGACCGTTCCGCATTCATGCACAATTTTCTAAGCTTATCTAATAAATTCCCTACGATTTTGACTTTGAAGTTGACTTTTTCACATTTCACTCCCAAGGTTAGGTTATTTTTCGTAGAAAAAAGGAAACCTAAAATTTTCGAATTCACAAATATGATGGAGAGAGGATTCAGAAAATTTCTTATTTCGTAATGCGTTAATTTGCCTCTAAAATTTTTGGGAAAATGATACTGAAGCTTTTGTAATTTGATAAGACTCAAGCTCCCCTAGAATGACCGAACCGTACAAATTTTATAGCGTCGCTTAGGCGGAATGCATTTCTAAATATCTGTAAAAGAATTCTGGATAGCCTAAAAAGTGTTTTCAATGTATTTAGAATGAAGAAAACCGTCGTTGGGTGTTTCTCATCCAGTGGACCTTTTTGGTTCAGATATTTCAGTGCTGTATAGATAATAAGGCTCAGTAAGACGGTATTTAAAAATAAAACAAGCCGTAGTTAAGCGAGAATGCCTATATACCGTGCCAGGACTCGATCGCTAGGACTCGATCCAGGACTTTGAGCCAGAACTCGACGCAGGACTCGAAAATTTTTCACTTTCCCGCCATTTTCTCGCCCCATGTAAGGGAATCCAGGACAGTCTTGGATTCTGGATTCCATGCTGTGGATTCTGGATTCCGGGTACTGGATTCCGGATTCCCGCACAGTGGATTCCGGATTGCAAAAGAGCTGGATTCCATTTTTTCCCGGTTTTAATGCTTGTCTTCGCACTTTGTTTCGTGTTCGAATCTTGCTATATGAAAGACGTTGTTAGAAGGCATAACAAGTTTGTTTTCTTTTCCGATTTACAAAATTACGGGAAGAAATGTATTACAGTTCCGTAAGGGTTTATGGTATAATAATGAGGGGAACATTGGGGGACTGTCTACACCGCAACACCGCAGAAAAAAAAAAACAAACGCCGCATCACCGCCAAAAAAACGTAGCGAAACACCGACATCGCAATTTAAAGTTTTGTCCTACGATTAATCTAATCCAAATCTCCATGTAATTTGGGATGGAGGATCTTGGAGCTGGTTAGTGATTACGGTAGAGAGTGAGACTGACCTCAGGACTCTATTTTTCACTTAGTCTACTTTTGTGAACTCTATTTTCAGCCATGCTGATAGAAAAATGCATGCAACGCCCAGATTTCGCCTGNAAATTGGATTGTTGTGAATAGCTTCAACCTCTGGCTATGTTTGATTATCTGTTGTTCACTCGCTTCGATGAACTTAAAAAATCAAAAGCGATTTGACCTGGCATAGGACCGGAAAAGGTGCACATGGGGTGAAACTTTTCTTGAACCTTCCTGGTCCTCCTGGTTCACAAATGAAAATAAACGTCCACTTTCAACATTTTACCAAAAAAGAAAAAAAAATTCACAGTCTCCTAGTCCCTAATTTGGTCCTAGTAGTTTCGGTGAGAACAGTTTCATGGTTTCGATAATCTTTATTTGAGAAATAAGCTAGCTTCTGTCAGAACCGTACCAATCAGCTGTCACTAAAGTAATCACGTGCAAGGACGCGGTGGGTGTCTTTTTCATTCATCCCCGCCATTCGAGTGAAATCTCTCCACCTCATCGATGAGACGAGTTTGAAGTATGTTGTCTGTTGGATTTTTCTTTTCTACGTTATTAAAAAAAAAAAAATGGTTATGTTAAAGCACAAGCAAAACAAAAGGCTGAGAGAGAAACGTACGTGTAATACTGTGAGTAGTATACATGGCTCATATGGGTCCTAGCCAATCAGAGCGCAGCAAATTTTGAATCGACCAATCAGAAGACAGCATTCAGCCCACGTGACCATGATGACGTCAAATGGACGAATTTTGTTCACGTGACCTCTCTCGACCAATCAGAGCGCAGCATTCCTTCAACTACTCCCCAGACCCCCGGAAGTGACTCCCCAGACTCCCGGAAGTGATTGCGCAACCGGAAGTGACTCCCCAGACCCCGGAAGTGACCGCGCCACCGGAAGTCAACAAATGGTATCCCTCAACTGCTTTATTGCACAATGGAATAAATGGCCTTTATATTTGTGTTGTACGCTTACCCTTGTGGTATGCCTTTAGGGTGATTTTCAGCAACGCATGCGCATGAAGTAACATTCGCTAGGGCATTGTCTTATAACCTAGGAGGGATGACTTGACCTTTATATTTGCAGTGGATGATGTACGCTCACCCTTGTGGTACTGCTTTTGTGTTAATGTCCAACAACGCATGCGCATAAAGTAACATAAACTAGTCGCATTGTCTTATAACCTAGGAGGGATGACTTGGTCTTTATATTTGTGTTGCATGTTGTACGCCCACCCTTGTGGTACTGCTTTTGTGTTAATGTCCAACAACGCATGCGCATAAAGTAACATCCGCTAGGACATTGTCTTATAACCTAGGAGAGATTACCTTGCCTTTATATTTGCAGTGGTTGTTGTACGCTCACGCATGTGGTACTGCTTTTGTGTTAATGTCCAACAACGCATGCGCATAAAGTAACACCGGACATTGTCGTGTACAGCGCGACCGGAAGTCAAGAAAGAAACCCATCAGAAAGTTTTTGACGTGAATTGATCACGTGACCATCCCCAACTGCTCCCCAGGTCCTCGGAGAGGAACGGAAGTCAAGAAAAAAACACACTGTATGGCCAATAAAAATCACTTGGATGGTTTTAATACATTCTTGTTGTCATACCTTGCATTACAGGCGGGACGTGTGCGACTTCCTAGAGACGTCGCGCCCTTTTTTTACAAATCTAACAAGAGGTCGAGTTCATCCCCAATCCTTTCGTAACCATACGGATGGCTCGATCGGGTGGTCTCATCGATCACACGTTTGTCGAACACCAACCCATACTGCTTCACGCGCGGCACCACTTGAATTTGTTTCTTTTCTAGATCCCGTTTGAAATAATAAGGCGTTACCACATTGGTGGTACGGCGATGATCCTGTGGGTTATTTAATTCAGCCAAAATATTGTCTTTCATTGTCTGAAAATTGAGGATGGCCGAGCCTCGGACGTTCAGAGTGAACCCTCTCACCTTACACACCACGTTGCCCCGTCGTGTCGTATACCCATAATTCTTAGCGCCCCCAGAAACGAACTCAGTAATGATGTCCCCGTCCAGTTCATCCGTCATGTCCCCCAGAAAATCACCCGTGACGATGGAGGGTTGATCGGGACGCCATCGGTAGATCACACTGTCCGTGTCATAGTAGAGGATTTGTTCCTCGAGGGTGTCTAGGGACTCGTAGAGCTTGAGCCGAGCATGGCACGTAGTGAAGGCCGCCACAAAGATGTTGGTTTTGGTGCCTTTGACGGCATTGTCTTGGACGCTGGTGTAAACGGCCTCTAAGATGTCGTTGGTACAGATGCGGAGAGTACTGAGGTGAAGAGCGGCGTCGGAAATCAGGTTGAACAAATGGGCGGGGTCCTTGACTGTGACGGTGGTGGGTTTGTTGATACGCTCGCCGAATTTACCCCAGAAACTGTTCAACATCAACTTGGCAGTGGCTTTACGACCGGGATTTTTGGCAATGCTGGCAATATCGAGTCGAATGCCCTCTCGTTCCTGGTAACGAAGAATATAGTCTCGTTTTTGTTCGAGGGTCTGACACCAACCGGGCCACCCCGCTGATTCTTGTTTTAACTTCAACCAGGTGTTGACATAATTGGCGAAAAGACCCGTTTGGCGTTGCTCGGGGGGGAAATGCCAGACTTCGTGGATCTTGATGAGGGTGTACCCCTTTTCGACGGCTTTGAACAGTTCGGGTGTGCACCAGGTTCCGCGTAAGGTACGTTCGGCGTTTGTGTGTTGACAGTAGTGCGTTCTTTCTAGCATTGGTTTGGCCTGTTCCTCTTCCACACAACTACGGCATAGAGGAAATGTGAGCTTTCCACCTGCTCGAACCGGTAACACGGGGTGGAAGAGGCCTGCGGGAGGGATTATGTCCACCGTGGCTATACCGAAGTATGAATCCAGAGTCTGGTCTGCAGGTTGGCTGATGATGGTAGGGTGCCCTACAGGGTAGGTACTGTTCTTATTCACCCAGGGGTAGAGGGAGGTGATATCTGTATAACGTATCTCCTCCCCCTCCCCCGCCACGGCATGTAGGGCTACCGCACCTGTCCGTCCACCGAAAAAGGCGTCGCGGGGTTCTAAGGGGGCGACTAGATCGAATGATGTAAGAAAATGTTTTACCAATGGATTCGTGTCGACTTGCTTGTTCCAGTCACACTCCCACATCTCGATGACCGTATACCCCGCTCGGAGAAGAGCCATGCGTTTGCATATCGTGGCCTGATACAGTTCCTCCACGGTTCTATCAGGTGTGGCATAATGCTTTGCTTGCCTGTTGGGATAGCAGCGGGGGCATCCATGATAGAGACACCCGTGAAATTCATACACAGTACGGGTGAGTGGATCGTAGCCATCGACGAAATAGCTGTTTGCGATGGTTCGGACGGACTGTTCGCCCCCGTTACGGACGTGGTGGATTCTGTCTGGCGATGCCCCCTCCTTGGCAATTTGATGTTCCTGGTAGTGCAACCATTGGAGGGCCTTGAGGGATTGGTTGGTATTCGCACCTCTCCATCCACGGAGAGGTTCGACGGCAATTGTGTTGGGTGTTAAATGGTGTTTGCGCCAGTAGAGGTTGCATCCTGAAGCGATGGTGATACACTTGGCCATGGGATTGAACCCTGCTTGTGACTGGAATTCCTGCTGGAATTTGATGCATCCAGCTTTTAACAATGCGACGTCAGATTGGCAATAGGCAATCATTTCTTTTTTGAAATGAAAGGTTACATTACGAGCAACTTGCTCACTGTGCCAATGCAACAGTTCCTCTTTCTTCTTTGGCATCATGCCATCGGGATCATAGAATTCAATGTCAGGGATTCTTCCCACGTAGTTTTGATGGTGCGGTAAGTTAAAAAGGTGTGGGAAGAATCCCTTCTTCAATTCCGTAATGTTGAAAGTTTGCGAAAATGATGCAAGCGGCATGGGCAAGAAGGAAATAGAGTCTATAAATTTTAATGGCCCGCTTCGAAACGACAACACTTTGGCCCCCACCGTCAGCTGTTCTGTAACCTCTCGCTGTTGCTGGTACAGTTCGTTCAGTATAAACACACTGTCAAAGCCTTTGAAGTTATGAAACACGATGATAATCTCACGCTCTCTATCACCGTCCGGGATATCCGCGAGATCGTCCAATTCCTGCAAAAATTGCAGTGTACATTCTTGCCCATCCAACACATGAATGTCTTCTTCTTCTTCAGACGATGAATAACATAATAAATTAGCCACAAACACACCCTCAGCATTCTGCATGGCTTCAAAATCCGCATAAACAAACAGGGGAGGGGGTGGCGCCACCATGCAACCTCCCCCCTCCTCTGTCTGTTCAGTCTCCTCATTCTCCACCACGGGCTGAATGTAACACTTGTGGTCCTGCATGGACACCCATTCTTGACACACTGGACATTTTGCAAAACCACACTTGTGTCGTCGGTTTGCAACCACTGTGTACCGCGCTTGGCACTTTAGACAGGTTTTCACTGATTGACATTGCTTTGTGACCACATGATGACGTTTACAGTACGGTCCGTAAAACTTGCAGTTACACAGGGTGCAATAGTCGGTAGGCCTGGTACCTCGCACATAATCCTCGCAGTCAAATCTGCCGCACGCGGAACAACGTCTCCCTTGACAGATATGATTGGCAATATCATTGGTATTAAAACCTCTTTCACAGTCTTCGCAATAATATGAGCGATTGAGGAAGGCAGGAAAGGACGTGCAGCCGTCATAATGGTTATTGGATTTCAGTAAACGAATCTTATTTGGGGCTTCAGGTCCTTTATATATGAGAAAAAAAGGTTTTAACCGCGTCATCACCAATAACTGGTACTGTGCACCAAGTGCTTGTTGAAATTGGCGAAGCTCTTCCAAACCACAGGGACCCTCAGCCACTCCTGCCTGCAGATGTAATTCTTTGGCTTGATGTTCTTGCACAGGGCGCCCTCGCTTTAGGTTTTCCCATTGGCGAAAGCCATCCACACCTTGACCTTTATGACAGAACGCGCGCATAGTGACTATTGCGCGAGCGCAGCATAAATTATCGTCATTGTTAATAGCAATAATACATTTTTTTTTCCTGTTTTCACGAACCAAACCCCATTGACCAGGATTGTGTTTTTTACGATGACCGGATCCGGGGCCAGGCATTGCGACGATGACCACGTCTACTTGAAATCCTTCTTTTGGGCTGAACGCTTGATTACTATTCAACTTGCCTGCTAACTTGGCTAGCATTTCATCCAAGCGAGCGGTACGCTGCAAGAACTCACCGACTGTAAAATTAGCAGACTGATACGCGTGGTGAAAGCCATTGGCCGTTATGGCCATATTTACAAAGTGATGTGCGGGTCTTTCTTGTTTGAGTAGTTCCATCTCGATGGCATTATACAATGCTTCTGTTAATGCGTGCCCGATATTGTCCGCAGCCACGGGTTCGCGCAATTGTCGCAATTGTGCATTAAATTGTGCTCTCTCCACAACATTACGCCAGGTACGACGTTTACCAATAGGATGCATAGTGAATTGAAAGAGTGGCCCCCCGGCCGCACCACCTCCCATCTGCTCCCAACGACCATAAGCTCTACTTAAAATGTCGTCTTCCTGCTCATCTTCGTCGCTGAAACGATAGTAGATATCGTCTGCATTGGCCATCTTTGGTGAAAACCTCGACGATTTGAATTTTCCTGCGCTTGACGCCCGCTTATATAGAACAAACCACGTGATACACAACGATCTGTGATTGGCGGAGATCCGGTTTGAACCGGTTTGAAACCAGTTGTTTAAAGTAGATATCAAACCAGGTTTGCAAACAGGTTAAACTACTTTTTAAAACTGGTTTTGAACTAGAATTTTAAAAAATCAAAATTTTTTTTCAAAGCCATGTTGAAACCGGTTTTTTTTTTTCTAGGGTTTTTTTCTTTTTCTAGGTTTTTTTTCTTCTAATTTTTTTCTAGGGTTTTTTCTTCTTGCTTTTTCTGCTGCAATTTTTTTGTTTTTCCTTCTCGAGTTTTTTTGTTGTTCTAGGATTTTTCTTTTTTTTCTAGGTTTTTTCTTGGTTTCTAGATTTTGTTTTTTTCTTCTTCTAGGTTTCTTATGTTTTTTTCTTTGATTCTAGAATTTTTTTTCTTAGGAATTTTTTTTGTTCTTAGTTTTTTTATTCTTCTTCTAGGCTTTTTACTTTTAAAGAGAAAGAGGAAGAAGAAGTGCAAGAAGTTTTAGGTCGGGCTCGAACTCATGACCTCTGAATCAGTATTCACTGCACGCGATCCCACCTACACTACTACAGAAAAGCTAAGATAGCCTATGCAAATTTAAGTCGTCCATAGTTTGCGCGCGCCACCTTTCACTCGACCTTGTATCAACTCGGACCGCAAGTCCAGGCTCGCATGTACTCAAGTTTTCCTTCACCGTGCGTGAATTGAACTGGCGACTCTCGATTGGTTCGTATTGCACCATGTGGAGTTACACGGAGAGATGGGAGTTCAATTCACGCACGGAGAAGGAAAACTTGAGTTATGCTAGATGAGTTTGGTTTCTTCTTTTTCCAAGTGAAACATGATCACGTTTAGTAAATGAGTACAACTCGGTGGTTTTTTCTTCCCAACAAGCAAACAATCATTAAAAAAAAATGTACGCCATCCCGAGAAGAAAACAAAATGGCGGTCGATCGGGAAAGAGACATCGACCGATTTCTCTTTTAGAATCTGCGTTGATTTTCAAAAAAAAAATGCAAGAGTTTACTCATGTAGTGAGAATGGAAAGGATTTTCTTTATGTGTCTGGAAGGGATGCAGGTGAGGAGGTTCCCGTTTTGTACCATTAAAAAGACACACAATATATGCAGTTCAACAAAATGTGTTTTATTGAATATCTTGTTGCCAATGAAATAATTGATCCACTTCTCGATGCGAAAATCCCAAATATTCATAATCATAGGTACCATATTTGTTTAAATTGAAAGAAAATAAACATAATAAAGCTTCAATGACAGAATCTTTGGGTCTCATAAAATTCCAACAAAAGTCCATGTTGCCTCCCCATTCTTGCGGACTGGGATGTTGGTTTTCGGCCATTTTCCATTGCCATTCTTCATTTAATGTTAATTAATTTATTAATTGATTTATTCTTTTTTAATTTATTTTAGTGTCCCCACTTAGTGGTTATACACCGCTATTACAGTTTTGACACTTTAATAAAGGTATCATCATGATCATCATCATTACATGGCATGTGAGTGACCATAACAACAGCAGTTTATTCAATTAGCAAATAATATAAGAGTAATGTTACCCACAATTAGCGGAGCTATTCTACGTGGGCAACAATACAATAATTGTCTAGCTCCTATAATAAAATCGGCAAAAGAACGTAAGTAAAGAGAAAGCAAAAATAAAATAAACAAATAAATAAATAAAAGGTATCACCAATTGAAAATAATAATATTAAATGTTAAAACAAGTACGATACGAGATAAAACTATAGACATTAGGAAAGAAAACAATAACTGAATAAGCAGTTCAGGTAGGAACTGGTAATCAAATGGTATTCATATCTTGCTACATACACCTTCTTAGTCTCCAAAACCTTGATCAGAAATCCATGCAATTTACGCTTGAAAGGGTCTTTGCGTTGTTCAAGTAACGTAAGAGGAATTTTGTTCCATTTTCTTACACCACTTCTAGAAAAAGATGATATTAGCTGATTGGGTCTAGATCTCTGGACATGAAAATTACCTACGGCAGAAAATCTGGTATTAATAAAGAGACTGGATCATGTTAGAACGCACGAACAATTCAGAAATTTTAGAAGGAGTGACACATAACAACTTCAACAAACAACAAATTTTCTTCCTTGTTGTTTTCTTGTCACTGCACTAAGATGTATCCCATGGCCTTAATGTGCTTGTTACCATTATCAGCGTCGTACTGGGCTAGTGCATCATTTCCACACGTGTTGGAGTCGTCGGGATATCCACCAGTACCAAACTCGATCCTGGAATCACAGGATTTGCATTCGTTTTCGTTGTTAAAGAGGATAACGATTCTGGCTTTGGCCGTGGCACCCATAACATTAAATCGTTCCTTGTTACCGGTTTTTCCTTAGAGCCAGTCAGTGACTTCCACGTGTCACGACCCAGTGAGGTCTTGCGGTATTGCCCATCAGAGATCAAAGAGTACAAGGAGTTCGCCTGCTGGTTGATGACAATAAACTTGATCTGCTCACCGATCTTCATACCGAGGCAGATCTTGGAGAAGGATGTGTTCCAGTAGGAGGGAAGTTTAGTTTTCCTGTGATTCAAGCCCAGTCTTCCCTCCGTCAAGGTTAAAGGTTTTGTTGTTACTTCAAGAGGCGTTATCGTAGTGAAACGCATGCTGTGATAAAAAAGAAGGAGAAATAGAATGTGGTCGTGATACAAGAAAAACTTCAACAAATTTTCTTCCGTGGTGGTTTCTTGTCACTGCACCAAGATGTATCCCATGGCCTTGATGTGCTGGTCGTTATTATCACCCTCGTACGTAGCTTCGTTTCCACACGCGTTGTTGTTATCATATTTTCCTCCAGTACCAAACCCAATTCTGGAGTCACAAAGATCGCAGTCGTTTTCATTGTTACCAAGTATACCGATTCTTACTTTGGAGTGGTCCAAGTCCTTACCATAAGCATTGAACCCTTCCTTGTTACAGTTGTACTGCAAGGAAGCCTCAGAACCAATCAGCGACTTCCACGTGTCACGACCCAGTGAGGTGTTGCGGTATTGCCCATCAGCGATCAGAGAGTACAAGGAGTTCGCCTGCTGGTTGATAACAATAAACTTGGACT